AACTCCACCTTGGCGAATATTCTCCACCACTTAGAAGTCGTCCATGCTCGAACCTTCATGTACTCCGGACTTGGGTTGTCTCCTTTGTAGCTTACTGAGAGCTACCCGACGGGCCAGACCCGCCGCCACCGTGAGACTCCACTGCTACTCTTGCTGCTCCACTCCCCATGGCTCCACCTGCAATAGTGCTCCCTTGCAACTTGTAAAGATGCCAAGCCGTCCTCTCTCCTATCATCACAGTCACCCCATCTTCCATGATTTCCATGGTCTTCGTATCCCAATCACAACGGAATTCCATACCACCATCATGAAGAACACCAAGCGAAATGAGATTACTCCTTAGCCCTGGCACATGCCTGACTCCCCGAAGCATCCGCTCAACTCCGTCAAACATCTTGATTTTGATGTCACCTACTCCAGCAACACGATAACCTGTGTCATCGCCCACATAGGCTAAACCAAACTCACCAGACTTGTACGAAGAGAACCACTCCCTATTGGGCGTCGCATGAAAAGAGCAAGCTGAATCCAACATCCACGCTTCAGTTTTTATTGACCACCTGTTTGATATAACGAGAACATCACTACTGCTGTCTGAGTCATCACCTCGAGTAGCCGCATTAGCACTTGCCCCACCCTTCAGTTCTGGGCATTCCCTTTTTATATGTCTCCAGTCCTTGCACCTGTAGCACTGCACCTTTTTCTTCTTTTTCTTCTCCGCCTCTTGTCCCTTCCTGAGCTGATAACCTTTAACTGCCAACCCCAAACCTTGAGTACTCTCCTCTGTAGCATTTTTTTGCTTCCTTAACTCATGCCCAAGCAACGCTGCAGTGACTTCCTCATTATTGACGGTTGTCTTTTCATGTGTCAATGTAATGACCAAATGCTCATAGGACGGTGGCAACGAAACAAGAAGAAGTAGTGCCTTATCCTCGTCCTCAATCTTCACATCCAGACGCGCTAGATCCGTGACCAACTGATTAAAGGCATTCACATGCTCCACAAGATCCGACCCCTCCTGCATCTTCAGCCCATAGAACTTTTGCTTCAAATACAGTTTATTGGTCGCTGACTTGGACATATAACGATTTGCCAACTTGTCCCAAATTCCCTTAGGAGTATCTTCATCCATGACATGATACATGACCTGATCCGCAAGACAAAGCCGTATGGTAGCAGCCGCTTGCACTTGCATATCCTCCCACGCATCGTTGTCAACCTTGGCCGGCTTCGTCTCCTGCAAACCCTTCAAGATTCCCTGCTGCGCCAGAATATCCTTGACTCTTGTCTGCCATAGACCGAAGTTACCCGTGCCATCGAATTTCTCCAAATCAAACCTGGTGAATCCCGGCGCCATGCCGAGCCGCGATCTAACCGACCTGTTGCCGCCGGTCTGACCGCCCTTGTTTTCTTCTGCGACTTCCTCACGAAAAAGATCACTGATCCCGTATTCCTCGTCTGAAGCCACGCCGCAGTCCACGATCTAACCAAGAAATCTGACCCGCACTATCCTTGTCCGCCCTTCAGAAAAATTCCGTGAAGCCTCGCTGTTACAAGTGCTCCACCTTTTCCCGAACTTGCAAAAGATTTGTGTGCATGTACACCTCGTTGCCCCCAGCCTTTTATTTCCTGCTGGTAGACCCGGCCCTTTTCTTCCTCTCTGACACGGAAACCGAGCTTGAACCGTCACGGTCTCACAAATTCCATGCAGCAGCCGTAGTTGAATCCAACGCTAGCAATCACGCCTCTGCCGCGTACAAAGATTTCCCTTTGCATAATCCAGCTATGCACTAGTCCGACAACAATCAGACCCACGTGCATGTACATGGAAACTCGCAAATCCAATCTGTAGACGAATCGCAACGTTGGCCTCTTCATTGCTAATCTTCTGGACTCCTGAACTATCACTAGTAGAAAACCGGGCAATAGCACCGGTTCGTAAGGGCCTTTAGTGCCGGTTATGGAACCGGCACTAAAGCCCCCCCCCCCCCCCTTTAGTACCGGTTCAGCACGAACCGGCGCTAAGGGGGCACCACGTGGCGTGAGCTCGCGCCCTGGTACGAGGGACCTTTAGTACCGGTTGGTGTTACCAACCGGTACTAAAGGTTTTTTTTTAATATTCTTTTTGAAAATTTTGGAATTTTTTTTATTTTTAATTTTTCTGAATTATTTGAAGATTTAGTCTCTAATCACCTCTCTTAACTGCTCAAGTGTGGATCACTCATTCCAAATCATCTAACTTCCCGACCGGTCACCCATCCCTCTCACTACTCCAGCCCGAGCACGCTTAACTTCCGGGTTCTATTCTCCCTCGCTCCAAGTCTGCACTTGTTGTTTTCCTGACAATAGTAAGATGTCAATCCTATTAACCTTCAGGAATTTTGCTTGAGCATGAAGTGACACATTTCACTGTTTGAGTTTAAAACTATTGTTTTAAAAAACAATAATTATTTAGTAACACTAATATTTCTTGAATAATTAGTTTGACCATTGTTTGACCACAGTTTGACCATAGTTTGACCAAAGTTTGACCAGATTTGACCAAAATTGAAATAACTAAAATAATTATTTAGTAACACTAATATTCTAGAATAATTAGTTTGACCATTGTTTGACCACAGTTTGCCCACTGTTTGAATATTTTTCAATTTTTTCCACTCTAGATCTTAAAAGCCCCGTAACTTTTTTTCTATTAGGTTCTTGAGGATTTTAAAAATGTTTAACGGGGTTCCCCTGGTTAAATTTGGATGTAACTTTTCGAGTAGATGATTTTTCATATAAAAAACTTTTTCATCCGAGTTAGTATGCAAAAGTTATGCCCATTTTTACAAATTTCAAAGAGATTTTGCAAATAAAGTCAAAATTCACATTTGCAAATTTTCCCAACAACTAGACCACATATCACATGAGAAACTTATTTTCTTTTATTTTTTTGACATTTTCATCATTTTCGTTTATTTTTTTTAACTGAAAAGGCGATCCGGGGGGGTAGAGTTTGAAAATTGCCCTATAGTGCCGGTTTGTGTCACAAACCGGTACTATAGGTCAGACCCCTTTAGTACCGGTTCGTGCCACGAACCGGTACTAAAGGTGATCGTGGGGCCCCGGCCTGACGCCAGCCTGCCACCACCCCTTTAGTACCGGTTCGTGCCACGAACCGGTACTAAAGGTTCAACACGAACCGGCATTAATGCAAATCCGTTCGAACCGGCACTAATGGTACCATTAGTACCGGCTCAAATACAAACCGGCACTAATGTGCTTCACGTTTGACCCTTTTTCTACTAGTGTACCACGCTTTTTGCGCACGCTGCCAACGGAGACCTGTTGCCGCACGCTACCGAAACACGCCAGACGCGCGTACGTAGCATCAACACCGTAACTTTGCTTCTCTCGACCCGTTCATCTCGGGAAAAATCCGCCGCTAATCCGACGAAACTTACGCCATCACCTGTGACCTTGGTTCTCGCCAGCGATCTGTACCGCCCCGTCGCGCGTACTCATCGACGCCAACCCTGCCGTAACAGTCGCCACCTCGCGCATCATCCGTGCACGAGCCGTGCCGTACCCTGGCCATCCACGTCGCCAACACAATCCGTCTGCAGTGCCGCGCCGCCGCCCTTGTACAACACCGAGCGCATCGTCTTGATGCTCTCACACTCCGATCTATCCGGCCGTCCCCCATGTCTGGTCGCCGGTCTGATCGCGAGCCGAATCCGTCGCCTCCGCAACGTCTTCAACAGCCACTACGCCGGTCTGATCGCCACGTCTAGCCGATCCTTACTGGCCGCAGCCCATCGAACGGTCCAGGCCTCCTGCCCGAAGTGTCCGACACCACTGACCACATCCGCGATCGCCGCCATGCTCCACCTTGCGCCAATCGGGCATTCCCTGGCACCCGTCGAGCATGATCCTCGTACCTCCGGATGATCTTCCGCACAACCTTCTCGCAACCTTGCTCTGATACCACTTGTTAGAATAAAACGCTAATGCAAGATCATAGACGACACACCGAGGCACGATATCTGTTAACGAGGTTCACCGATATGGCTACATCCCCGGGGCATGACTACGGGCGCTCCTCCCCAAGATACCGCAACACCGGCCGCCCGGGCGCCGGCACAAGCCGTCGGCTCCCCCGCGTACCTGTTGCTATCAAGTCGTCATGATGGGTTACAACGTGTGGTGTCCCTCCGTATATAAGAGGCCTAGGATACAAGTGTTCGACTCCTACACAACTCGTATCTAACCACACCAATTACAACTCCAAGTCCACGTAACCCCTTGCGTACATAATATTCGACACAAATATAATAATATGCTCTCAAACTTTGACCGAAAATTACAAGATGATTAACACACGGCTACAAAGTACCATTTATGGTCAAAATTTTCTCCGCTTTCAATTAAGCTTACATGTTTGCTAATAAATACAATGGAGAAAAACCATACACAACATATATGGTAATAAGTTATCCAATTTCCATTATATATGTTGGCTCAAGATGAACTCGTTTCACGATTGAGCTACATATATAAAACACTCATACTCGGATCATTTTGTTTTGAGTCGATCTCGAGTCGAGCCAAAAGACAAGTCGATCTTCAGGGACTCGCGAGTCTCGAGCTTTTCTTGCAAAACCTAGCCCATCAATTATAGCCCTAAATCCGAGCAATTCTCTATTCGGATGCAGCTGCCCTCCAAGTAAGTTAATGAAAGTGAATCGTGGTTCTTCATTGAAAAGAAAATATAAATAAACGTATACATTGATGTGTAGTTTTGTTATTCCATTTCAACAAGAGACGATGCCCTCTATATCTATATTATCACACAAATAGACAAACAAATACACGATAGACAACCACTGAAAAACGATACAAACCAGACAACTGCGATAAAATTGACACACGTACGTCCGCTTGTAGTAGTAATTGATGTTGTAGCCGATCGAGATGCTTATTCGGTGGGTTCCGCGGCCGTCGTGTCGATCCACAATGGGTCACCCCCCGTGCCAGTGGAGACGGCGGAGGCGACCCTGGCGACGGCCACCGCAACCTTGCAAAAGAGCGAGATCTTGCTGATGCTGGATGACAACCCAGTGTCCCATGTCGTTGGCACGCTCTGCGGCGTGCCCACCTCCCATGTCGTCGGCGCGCTCTGCGGCATGCCCACCTCCCATGTCGTCGGCGTTCCCACCGCATATCCCGTTGGCGCGCTCACCTGCGCAACCTGAGAACGTTTGTAGCAAGCTTCCATCATGCACGCCACGTGCGTGTACGCGGGCTGGCCGCCGCCGTCGAGGTAGCTGTAGCACCAGAACCTATCGCGGCGGCCGCCTTGCCCTTGCCGGCACAACCCGCAGCTACCATGGGCAGGCGACTCCTTGAGGAGGTCGAACACGCCGTCGTGCTGGACCACGCGCTCGGCCAGGTTGGCGCACTGCGGGTGGAGGCCGATCTGGCGGTGGCCGTCGTGGAACAAGAAGCCGAGCACCTGGTCTCCGCAGGCGCCGCAGAAGCTGCCGCGGCCGGCCAGGGCGCCGCCGGGAGGGCTGTAGCGAAAGTCGAACGTGCAGCCCTTGAAGAAAGCATGCGTGAGCGTCAGGTCCTCCACCTTGAAGGGGACGCAGCAGACGTGAAGATCGAAGTCGCACGGGTCGCACCGGTACCTGCGGTCGTCCTCGCCGTAGTGCCGGCAGCCGTCGCACTGGAACAGCACGCCGCCGGTGGCATAAAGCGTGAGCACGTGCCCTGGGTGGGACGGGTGGGTTATCCGTAATGGAGGACCCGTAGGGGGCGTCACCATGGTTGTCTTTGGAGCTCCCTCCCTCTCTCCCAAAGAAACTGGCAAGGCGCATTGCCTTGCAAAGCTAACAAGAGACCAACATGTATTTGTAGAGTAGCAGGTCAGAATACGTGGTGGCATGACCCTGTCAAATGTCTTCTGCTTCACCCATGAAAGGCCAGCGCTTCTGCCGGTTCCTCAGAAATAAAGTACCTTCACACTATGGGTGACAGGTTGGCTACAAGTTGACATGTCGTCGACAACAATAGAAAAAACTTGGACGATTCCGCTGCGAGAAGACCTGGCTGTCTTAAGACTTTTCTGCTTGCATTTACCGGATCTAGCCTGCGTGTTGATTGGTTCGGAAGCAAGAATGCTAAGGCCCTTCTTTGGTTTGGAGGAATTGTATAGGATATGATTCTTATAGAATTTTTCTAAATCTTTTGGTTTATAGAAACGGATTTCTATTTCTATATAGGATTGGCATATGTCCTTCACATTTCAAAGAAAAACAAACATGAGCCTAGACTCAATGAATTTTTTTCTATGATGTGAAACAAATGACATTTTTTCTCCATTCTTACTTATAGTGTTATCTTATTTTCTATAAGTTTTGTATTCTTATGATAATCCTATCTCATGAATCGAAGGAGGCCTAAACTCACGGATGAAACCTACGGATCACTCTCCACCGCACTAATCCCTTTTCCCATCATTTCCAATCAGATAAGGGCGTGTCATCCTGCAAGTTAATTTCGTAAGAATCGTCTGTAGCTGTGGCATTGTTGATTTTGGAAGGGTCCTGCGTATATGCTTCACAGCTTCACAAGCTTTCTCTATCCTTCTATCGGATATATATGTGCTTGGTCTTTTTCCCATTTGGATATTTTATTTGCAAACAGTGGCAAGTTGAGTACGAGTTGGCATGTTCCGTGCTATACATCTTGCCAACAAACATTTTGATATTTTGATACACCGTTTCTTCATCATTCACGACATTCCCAATGAATATTTTATTTGTTGTCAACATTTGACATGGGAGCAACTACTTGGTCCGTTGCCAGGTTTTTTATTTTATTCGGCCCTACTTGGTGCGCGTCAACTCCCAAGACAAAAACTGCATTTGGCACAACAATTTGCCATACGTTGTGGCTGCTCTTACATACTTGTACTGACTTCCAATTTACCTCGTGTTTCTTCAGTGACCTCTGTTAGTTTAAAGCATCTAGAACCGGGTACATCAAATCCGACACTCTACATCTTCGCAAACGCGTCCGCAGGCAGTGACCTTATGTCGGGTATCCTAAATTCATACTATGCATGAAAGATGAAAGAAACTCCGTAGCTAATCAAAGACATTCCGGAACATAGAATAGACCGACATAAAACAAACCGCATATCCACATAATCTGGACCATATTCGAGTAGGGATGTGCGCATTAATTTGGGCTATATGGAACAACCGAAATGATGTGATTTTTAACAAATAAATTGTCATAAACTTTTTATAGTTTATATATAGAGCAACTGACTGGATCCATACGTGGTCTTCACTCAGCCATGCAGAAGCCAAGGAGCATGTGGCTTTTGGGTGCAACCATTGGGAGACGGTAGCGATACTTACAACAAGTTTGGATGGCGGTCCAACAATAAGATAGGTGTCCGGTCATTTGGTCCTATTTATGCCGGTTGTGGCGATTTTTTGTTTCATTACTGTTCTTTTTGAGACCTTGTACCGAATTACGTACTTGTTGACCTCCCGCTTTAATAATATAGCTGCATGCATCATTCTGATGCAGAGACAAGGGGCAATCCTCTTTTTATAAAAAAACACAATCCTGACCAAAAGACAGAGTTTAAACATCATGGTACTAAAAATGCAAATGGGTTGAGGACCGACGGCATGATGTTGGCGCTGCCTTCACCGTGGGTGGTTGTGTACCATGTGGGAGTGGTGTTTGCTTTTGTCCTAAACATTGCCTTGTTGACCAAACGATGTGAAGCATGTCATTCCTTCTAGGCCAGTTAATTTGCGAACCCACACGTGGCAGTTGAAGATAAGGTGGTTACAATCCTCATGTACCCTGGTTGGGCATAGAAAAAAACCAATATTCTCTGCCACTCACCGTGACGATGATGAAGCATATCTTCTATGCTTAACGACCCATGACATAAGCCATGAAAATACCTTGATGTTCAGCTTGCAACAACTCCAAACCCAATTTAAGAGAGGATTGGCAAATATAGGTTGGTGTATCAGAGAATAAAAGTGTTTAGCACAATAGAAATCATCACCTCCTAGCCACTTCCACACATCCGATAGTCCCAGGGAATAATCCTGTTTCAACAAAAAAAATCCTCCAAGTAGTGGAAATTTTTCTCAATACTTGTTTTGGGCGTTTTTGTAGGGCAATCTGGTGGGCCCACA